CACTCCAGTCTGGGTGACAGAGTGAGACTCCAACTCAAAAAAAAAAAAAGGAAAAGAAAAATCTCTTTCAGGGGGTATTCTGTACTGAAAGCTAATATTAAACTAACTGACTGCATGATGACAGAGAAGACTGGAGATCTTGGAGGCCTGAGCCCTGAGTTTCTCTGCTACTTTGGACAAGAAAGCCAGCCATTCATTCATTCATCCATTCATTCACCCATCCACCCGGTCAGCCAGTCGCCCAGACAGTCAGCCAACCAGTCAGCCATTCACCCATCAATTCAGTCAGTCAGCAAGCCAGTCATCCACTCACCCCTTCATCCATCCAAGCAAAAAAACAAAACATGGTGGAGGGAAGCAAAGCAAGATCCAGGAGGCTACCTAGTTTGTGAAATAATACTACCAAGTATAACACACTGGCAGAATTGGATCAGCTTAGAATTTACTAGCAGCCAATAAAGAGAATGAAGACTAGTTAGTCATAAGGTAAAAACAAGTCAAAATGTTCAAGCAAAGCACAGCTATTTCCAAGTTTGAGGCTGCAGAGAAATTTCTCCCATGGGTCCTGAGTGAGAGAAATCTGTGCAATGTAATGACCCAGTCACCAGCCACAGCGCTTCAGTTACCGTAGAGACAAGTTCTACAGGTCAGGTCCCCCGAGCAAACCCCTTTCCTCCACATCCACCATCCAACCCACAGAGGGAGACGGTATCACAGCACATGCAATTCTGAAAAAGAGATTCTGTGAGTTGCCAGAGATACTAGACCCCTACAGATTCTTGGTTCTCTCATGACTGGGCTGAATTCAGGAGAAGTTTTTAGGGTATAGAAGGTAGATGGAACACATGCCCTTTCTGCAGTCTGTGATTGCTTCTGTGGCCTCCTTCCACCCTGGAGCTGCCAAACGCTATTAAGCAGCAGGAAGTTGAGATGACTTCTTAGAAAGCTCTTGAAGACCCGCTATTCTAGGTGGCTCTGTGTGCTTCAGTTGCCCTCTAAGCTGGGCAGGGTTGGCACAATCCTGTCAAAACTGTTGAGCTGGCAGGATATGTGCCTGAACAAAGGCCGCCACCTGCTCAAATGTGTACCTAATGTTCATCGGTGCGCTGGTTGAAGGTTTTCCTCAAAAAGTGATTTTGGTTCCATTTTTTACATAGAGATCAAGGCACTGCTGTTCAATGCTGTAAAGACTTTGAAAAGCTGTGAAAAATCCCATCTGAATAGCTGTCAACAGTCAGAGTAACCACTGGGTAGAGTGGCGTCAACCTGAGTCCACTCATTCCTCCTTGATGCCTGTTGAGAATCCTGTTCCTCTTCCTCCCTAAGGGGCACATTGAGGGAGATGATGGGAGAGGACCGACTACTAGCTTTTTATCTTCCGACTTGCTATCTAAACTTCAACTTGTTCAAATAAATTAATTCACTCTAAAAAACCTCACTCAAATAAAGCAAAGTTAACTTAAGATAATGATCTCCAGTTCCATTCATGTTGCTGTAATTTAATTACCTCAAATCCCTCAAATACATCAGGATTGAATAAACATGCCCAAGTACAGATGGGTGTCAACGGTCTTCTAATGGAAAACATCAAGTGCATCATTGGTGATAACAAGTAGGACAAGCAGTGATCTGTCCTTAGTTCTTATCTGGTTTTTCACAGCATTTACTGGCCTAAAACTGGAATTCTCTAGAACATGGGTGTGCTGGAAACAGTAACCGTACCATCTTGGAGAAGGGCCAGATACAAAACTATAGGGGGTGGGTTCTGTAAGAAAGACAGGATGGGATGGGAGACAGTGTAACATATAGACACCCCTCTGATGCTGTGGATATTAGTGGTTTCTTCTTTGGCTATACCAACACACTGAGTTCATGAAGAAAAAAATTATAATCATTCCAAATGATACTCCATATAGAGGAACAGTCTTTTTAGAATCATTGCATATTCCATGCCATGATGAAAGTCAGCGAATGCACGAGATAGAACAAAGGCTCTCTTTTGGGGATGCCCTCCTTACCTTCTGCCACATGTTGATGAAGAAGAGCTCCCGGGAGACATTGAAGGACACGTTGGCATCATAGGCATCATCCCCCAGGTTGGCGATGGAGATATTCAGGGAGATATTCTTCACAGCCCCCAAAGCTAGATATGGGGTCTTATCATCAATACTGTAATGAAAAAGAAACAGCAATGAATGCCCTGAAGCCTCTACGAATATGCTATGTGGCATCTGGGGGCAGTTGAGGGTGGGGGGCAGAAACTGAGATCAGAACAAGTCCCAGGAGTCCTATAGCCAGCTGTATTATTGGGCAAACAGTTCGCTCTATGGGCCTCAGCTTCCTCATTGAAAACACAGGGATCTGCCTTTTCTAACTCACCAGACTGTCAAGGCATTTAATAACTTATCCATAGGATTCACTCATACATGAATTCATTCATACAGTTATTTTTGAATACCTACTACATGCCACTATGTGCTGGGGAAAAAGCAGCAACTAATAGAGAGTCCTTGTAGCTTCAGGGAGACAGAAAACACATACATAAAGAAGCAAATAAACATGTCATATTGTGATAAGAGCTGTGGAGAAAATATACAAAGGGTAAGGTGAACAGAAAATGCCAGATTTGCAGGGGAGTGACTTGCACTTTTAAATAAGGTGATCAAGGGAGTCTCACTGCTGAGGTGACCTCTCAGAGGAAATGGAAGGAAGGAAGGAAGGAAGGAAGGAAGGAAGGAAGGAAGGAAGGAAGGAAGGAAGACAGAAATATATAGGAACTAGCAAAAGAAAAGTCCCTGAGGTGGGCATGTGCCCAGCATGTTCAAGGAACAGTAAGGAAGCCAGTGTGGCTGGAGAGGAGTGAGAAAGGAGGACAGTGGGAGGAAATGAGTTCAGAGAGGCAAAGGGAGTGGGGGGGTGGGTAGATCGAACAAGGATGTGCAAGTCCTAATGAAGGAACTTGGTTTGACTCTGAGCAACACAGGAGACCTGCAGGGCTCTAAGCAGAGGAGTGGCATGGTTCACCATCCATGTTTAAATGAGGCTCACACTGGCTGTGATATGAAGTCTGGGGAGTGGCCCAGGAAAAGCACAGAGCCTGGCTTGGAGGCTCTTGCAATTGTCAAGGTGTGAGAAGATGGTAGCAGCTGGGATAGTGAGGTTATATTCTGAATATGTTTCAAAGGTTATGCCAACAGATTTTTCTCATGGATTGGATAAAGGGTGTGAGGAAAAGAGAGTGAAGGATGGCTCAAAGGTTTCTGGATTCAATAACTGGAAGAGAAGAGTTGTCATTTATTGAGATGGGAAAGACTGGGTAGACAAGGCTCAGCAGAGAAAAATAAAAATGCCTGTTTTTTACATTTTTTTTTTAGTTGGAGTCTCACTGTGTCGCCCAGGCTGGAGTGCAGTGGCACGCTCATGGCCATCCTAGCTTTGACGTGCTGGGCTCAGGTGATCCTTCTGCCTCAGCCTTCCAAATAGCCAGAACTACAGGTGCGCACTATCATGCCCAGCTAATATTTTATTTATTGTAGAGATGAGGTCTCGCCAAGTGGTCCAGGCTGTTCTTGAACCCATGGGCTCAGGCAATCCTCTCACCTCGGTCTCCCAAAGTACTGGGATTACAGGCTTGAGCCACCGCGTCTGGCACCTATTTCATTTTAAAGGAGAGAGTGAGGCAACTGGATGCATGAATTTGGATTTGGAGGAGAGGTCTGGGCTAGAGATACACACGTGGGATGGACAGAGATAATCACCATGGAATGAGTGTAGACAGAAAAGAGGTCTCACATTTAGGCGCTGAAGATGAAAAGGAGCCAGCAAACGAGACTAGAAAAGAGTGGCTAGGATGGTAAGAGGAAAACCAAGTCACAGAAGTCACATTTTAAGGAAGGAATCATCAATTCTGTCCAACATGGCAGAAAGGTCAAAACAACATGAAGAGTCAGAACTGGCTGTTGGAATCAGTCATCTGGAGGTCACTGGTGACCTTGATAAGAACTGTGAAGTGGAGTGATGGGGTGACTGGAGTAGGTTTAAGAGATGCAGCGGGAGAATAAATGGAAACTGAGAACAGACAGCTATTTGGAGGAGTCTTTCTGTGAAGAGGAGGAGAAGGAGGATAGTAGCAAGTGGGGGAGTGGGTTCAAGGGAGTTTTAGTTTTAATCAAGATGGGAATTATCATAGTATATCTGTGTGCTAATGGGGAAGAATCCACTAGAGAGGGAGCAATTAATGGGACATGACCAGGAAGGACTGCTGGGTGGAGCCTGGTGAACAAGTGAAAGAGCTGATCTCTCGAGGGTAAGCTGCAGATGCCCTTAGGAGGTGGGTGACAGGAACATGTGGGAATTCCAATGTGAGTGCTTCCATTGTGTAGTGAAATAGTAGTAGGGTCAGACTGAGTTGGGGTGGGTGGAGGGCAGGGAAAAGGAGGGTGAATATTTAAGGGGTGAGGAGATGGAAGGAAATGATAACCCAGGAGAGCACAGGAGTGAGTGGGTCAAGGATGAGGATGGTGATGAGGATGAGGCTGAGGAAGTGGATGACAATGATGAAGATGCACATGAGATTGATGATCATTATGTGATGTCAGCTTTGGAAAAATAAAACCACATTAGTGGCCAATCTTTAACTGGCCAACCAGTTAATGGAAGACGTGATTAAGCCCAGGAGGCTTTGTATAATGAGTAGCTGTTATCTTTGGCTGCTCAGCATTCTGACATCTTCCTGTTGCAGGGGGAAATCTCAAGATAGATGGGAGGGGCCCATCAGCAGAAAGCGGGGAAAACCTCCCTCCCCACTCCTCTTGGTTACTAGGGAAAGGGAAACTGATTAAGTGCAGTCATGTGATCTAAGGTGTTCAAGTGACCTTAATGTGGTGACTGATGGTTCCACCTGGGGCACAAATTTTGAGGGTTGCACAAAGATACCAGGGATCATCTGAGGTGGCTATAGAGGAGTTGGGAGCCCAGAGGTGGCATCCTGAGCTAAGCCTTGCCTCCTCTGTTTTCTGCCTGTGCTGGTTACCCAGCCTTCCTGTCTATGCTCTGAACTAGTCCAAATCCTTCCAATAAATGCCTCTGCTATTTAAATTAATCAGCATATATTTTTGTTGCTTGCAACCATTAACACAGCTAATACAGTATGCAAGAGAAGAGAACTAGTCACAATCTCAATAGATTACAATACTTTGAAATGTTAGTTTTTTGGGGGAGACATCATCATTGCCCATCCATGGAGAGAGGATGTCACTTTCTCATAGGCCTGGCACATCAATGAGAAAAACATGTGTAATGAGAAATCTGATGGCCTTGCTTTGGAAACAAGAGCCCCAAGGATCCAAACAAGATGTGAAAAATTAACTTAGAGAAGAGTTGCAAATTCTTGAAAGCCCTCCAAGAAATTAAGACTCTGATCTTACACTATTGTGGCAATTATTTATTAGTGTTGGCTGTTTCAATTTTAAACAATTGATGGGCTATTTCTGTCCTCCTGTTTGCTTTTGTAAGAGTAAAGTAATAATCCTCGGGCCTTGAGTTATGAGAGAGAGCTAACCTAGCTTTATCTCAAGAAGGAATTACATGAGCACTCACAAGTAGCTCAGCTACCTCAGAGAGTGCCACAGTTTCCACAGAATATTAAGCAGAGAGACAATATAGAAGAGAACAGAATTACAGGGTAGAGGCTGCCTCTTTATTCCACTTTTATTGTTCTTGGGATCAGCCTCCTTTTCTTGTATGTAAATGACAAGGAATCAGAGCAAGGACATCTAAACTTCTGCCAGTCCTCAAAACTCAGACCTTTGTCACTTAATCATACAGCAAGGTCATTCCTGGGACTTGAAAGTCAAGAGACTCAAACATAGCTCTAGGGTAAGAGAGACCAGGCACCTTCCAGGGCAGAATGTGAACTCAGACTTTTGAAAAGGATCCTCAAGCTGTTACATTCTTTCTCCAAAGCAATAAATAAATAAATAAATAAAATAAATAAATTTTTAAAAATCTCTGAACAAAACTGTATTTCTGCTTCCAAAGTTACTCTTAGAAATGAAATGAAAATGTAATTTCTTGGCATGGTGCTGGGTGCAGTCAAACATGTCATCCTTCTAAAACCTCACAACACTGTGAAAGGGTTCTAATGTTAGGCCCATTCTTTAAAGATGAGGCATTTGGGACGCAGAGAGACAAGGTGCTGTGCTGGGATTAGAACTCAGTGTCTCCTATGCCTCCAAAGCCCATCCTCCCAACACAGACCACATTGTCTAGCCCCTTATCTGCCTCGTCTCCGGGAGGCCCTTCCTGACCTCCCTGCCTGGGTGAAGTAACTCCTACTACTATGAGCTCCCCCAGCCCTTCGTGTTCCACTGAGCCTTCACGGTATTTATCAAAGATGTGATTATACATATATTTGTGTGGCTATTTGATGAAAGACTGTCTTTCCCCTACTAGAATCTGAACACCAGGTGGCAGGGACCCTTGTTTGAGTTTGCTCATCACTGATCTCCCAGTGACAGAATTGTGCCTAGCACAAAATTTCTCAGGGAATAAAATTCTTTGAAAACTGGAAAGATAGTTCTTCAATAAACAAGCACCATGGCAAGTTTGGTACAAAAAACTCTGTGACTGATTGCTTTAATGTTTCAGCAGGATTGTCAGAGAGGTTGGTCGCTCATAGTAAGTGTTCGATTCACCCTGGTGGAAAGAATGACCATCCACGACATCCCCATGACTATTACCACCTTCACATTTTCCGGATGAAGAAACTGAGCCCCAAAAGGGGAACCCACCCAATCAAGGTCTCCCAGGGACTGGAACTAGCTGAAAACTTCCTTTAGCATGAAGGCCATCCAAGCTACAGCTCTTACATAAATTCCATCTCAGTCAGGAAGGGCTTTGGCAAGAAAGGTATTTTAATGACATCTGAAAGGAACAGGACTCTACGAGACCAACCTCTCTGATGGTCCTACTGAAAGATTGAAACAATCAGGCACAGAGTTTTTATGCTAAACATTCCATGGTGCTTACTTATTTATTGAAGAACAATCTTTCTAACCTTCAAGGCATTTTATTCTGAGAAATTTTCCCATTAATTCTAATTTGCTTGTGCAGTCTTTTAAGGGGGTCATGTTACTTTGTACGCAAATCACTTTGGTGTACTTTTATAT